CGTTCCTTGGTTTGCTGTAAGTTGATCTTGCCAAAGTTTTCCATGTGCGTTTTAAATACCATTCACGAACTTTCTATTTCACCTTTATAATGAACGGTGTGATTCGCTAATACATCCCTGTTGCTGTGCTCGTCCGATCCGGTCTTCTCTCTATCCTGTGGGGGTCAGCGACTTCGGGTTTTGATTGAGAATCAAGCGTCCACTCAGGCGAGGGATGAACGCTTCCGGGCAACACAATAAATCAATTCTTGCAGAGTGGACCAAGAGATATATAACCAGTGCGAAAAGACGTTACACAAAATGCGTCGAGAACAAATGTTTTAAATGATTGAAAATGTTTTGATGTCACACGCCCCAGAATACATATCTCTCTCTTGCATGAGCATACTCATTACTGTAATCATGACCTGTCCCCAATTCATTGACACCTCGTACAACCAAAATTACAGGCATTACTATGGTTATCATTATTGAAAGTCTAGGTGTCACAATCAATGAACGCATCCCCATCTGGTTACGCAGACAGATGAATTCGGTGACGACAGAATCGGTTGATTAGGGAAACCAAGCTGCCTCAGTGGTCATAAGACACTTGGTGATTACCGATCACCGAGTCAATCCTGACGAGTGGTGCACAGTCCTAATGTGCGACTAGCGGTCCCACACGCATAGGCTACTGAATGTATCGTTATCGATCGTAAACGCCTGGCGTTGTGGAGCTAAGCCTACACTAGCATTGCAAGCGCCCGGCCATGTATGGTCTCTTAGGTATATGTCAATGTATATGACCAAATTAATGAAAAAAGCACGACGTTAGCTGAGCGGTCTCCGATTTTCTTGTTTTAACTACCAACGGCCAACCGAGAAGCACCAGACGCCGCCCAACACCACCTCCGCCAATCACCTCACTACCCACCACGCGTCACGGGAACCGCCTGGTTTTACTAGTCAGTGATCTTGTGCAGACGGCGCGGTGCGAACCAGTCCCGTACTTGAAAACGAAAGTGCATATAATACGACATTTCGAACAGAGAACAACCGGTTTCATTTGCCCACTTCATTCGTGGTGCCATCTGACTCTTCGCTCTACTATGTGATATCGACTCAGTTTGCCGTGACGGTGTGATATAGGTTTAAAACTCCAGCGTCGTCTGTTTCCATAGCTTATTGTATTGCGCACAACGCGCCCTTCGTCTGCGGTCATCCACTATTCACTAAGTTCATCGCATCTGCTCGTTTCATCACACTACTCATTAGTAGTGTACCACACTCCGCCCCCTCTAAAAGCTCCGCGGCCCTCGACCTCACACGCAGTCTCTCCGAGCTTCAGAGCTGCCCCGTGCATGCTATAGTTTCCCGTCCTCGTTCGTACCACGTATCAGTTCTCTAACATGAACTCGCAGTCCATCTCCTTGTTGAACGATGGTGTATACGGGGCCTCGTCGATCGCTTACGTCATATGGTCCCTTCCACTTCGCGAGGCCTTTCCTCGCATCTAGGCCACATGCGGTCGCGCGTTGGTGATCTCTTTACTTTGCCTTCGAACTGATTGGAAATTTTCCGGAGGATTTTTTCATGTTGACCCAGGATTTCTCCATCATCCGCACCTGGGTTGCATTACGGTTTCGGTTCGCTACCTTCCTGTTGTTCCGTGCTTCCCCCGGCGGTAACTGGCAGGTCGGCCATATTCTTACTTCTAGATCCACAGGAATTCAGGCGCGCGGCCATACACTAAGTGAAATAGGAATTGTCTCGTGCTTTTTTGCTTGGACCCCGGGTAAGCTAACAAGATTAGTGGTAAAGCTTGTTCCCAATATCCCCTTTCGCCGCCAACCATTTTTTAATCGTTCACTTGTTCCCCTCTGTCAATCCATTTGTCTGCCAATGGTAGGGAATGGTTGTATCTCACTGATGCAGAGCTTCTCCAGACATGTCCGCAACTCGTCACTTGCGTAGCTTGGGCCCTGGCCCGTCAGTACGGCCTTCGGAATTCCGTGACCCGCTATCAGGACTCACATCACCGCGTATGTTATCGTGCTAGCCTGCTGATCCAGAATTGCCGCTGCTTCAATCCAGCGGGTGAAGTGCTCGGTCATCAGGATTAGGGATTGCTTACCCCGTCTCGTTGTGGGAAACGGCCCCAGCACCTCGACTGACCACAACTCACTAGTTTCAGACACGGGAATCGCGAGCGTAAGTTGTGGTGTTCCTTGGTTGTCTCCCTTCAAGAGCTGACACTGCTGACACGACGGCACATATGTATCGATGTCCTCTTTCACACCCGACTAGTAAGCTCGCTGTCTAAGCAAATTATATGTTTCGGCGCATCCGGTATGTACCATCTCTTGACAAGAGTCCACCAACTTTAGTCGCAACTTCGGTGGGATCACTAGACCGAGGTAACGCCTCGCCCTTACGTCCACATCAGAATTCTGGCTTGCAGATTTTCCGGGTTCAGCGCGAACGACCCGA